AGAAAGAAAGAAAGAAAGAAAGAAAGAAAGAAAGAAAGAAAGAAAGAAAGAAAGAAAGAAAGAAAACTATTTGTTGTTTTTTAATTGATTTAATCACAAAAGCTAAAGTAAATTAAGCCGCTCTAAACTGTAAATAAGTGCTCAACCTTTTAAAAACAAAAAAACAATTAGAGAATCACACAACAGACAAAATATAAAACAAATCAACTCAGTTGGGGTTAAATAAAGTTTTAAAAAGTAAAAACATCCAGCTTCCACATCACTGTAAACTTTTTAAATCCTCACTTGTGCATCCTGCTCCACCAGGTCAGCATCCACCACCCCTGACTCATCTCTGGTCCCCTGGAATCATCAATCACAACAATACGTGGCAGATCAGTCTGTGTTTGAAGGCACTCTAGCAAAGCCAGTCAGTGTGTGGGTGACCGGATGCCCTACGGCTGATATCAGCTCCTGGGTAAACTGACCTGAAGCAGAACAACCAGCATCTTCTTGAAGTGACCGGAAGTATCTGCGATAACATCCTCCTCCATGTCACTGCCATAAGCTGGAGACACAGACGTCAGAGTGAAATGCGGCCCTGTGCCAACACATTACCTGTTTGGTGTCTTCTTTAGAATGCATTACCATCCTTGTAAGCTTCAACCATATCGTGAATCTGTTGGTTGTTTCTAGAGGCCAGGACTTCAATCAGGCATCTCTCGTTTGTTCCGGTTCCCTTTAAAGTGAAGTATGAGGTTTAATCTGAAGCAACAACTGCTCCAATGAATAAATGGGACTACTTGTACTTTGAGGAAGTGTCTTACTTTGATTGCATCATGGATTTCCTTGGCATCATGGTAGGCCCGGGTTCTCATCAGACTGACAATAAGGCGCTCAAATTTGCCTGTGAGCTCATATTTCAGATCCTCTATCAGGTCCTGAGGAAACAGCATCATGTTGTAAATTCACAAGAAACCCTCTAGGATTGAAGTAAGTTACTGAACAGTTTGTTAAAAGGACTATATTTGAAAAATGGATTTGTGTACCTTCCCAAAACTGCTTTTGTAAGCAGCGATGATTTCTTGCCTTTGTGCATTGCTTCGAGAGGTCACCAGGTCCAAGATAGCTTCTTTGTCGCTACCTGGGGACCAAAAGGCAACATTTTTAACTGGTATTCAGATCCAAGTTATAAACCCTGCACTCTGTCTAAATCCATTAACTTTGCTCTAAATTAAGATGAAAAAAGAGGTATAAAAGATGACCGTTACACCTTCTCTGCCAAAACTACTGAACTACTCACCAATGCCTTTCATAGCATTGTAGAGGGCCTCAGCATCAGCGCTGGGATCAAAGTCTGGAGCATCTGCTATTGTGCCTCTGAACACCTAGAATAAGAACAAACAGCCAAAGAATTGATCATTTTTCCAAAGATGATCTATGTTGTAGCCTTACAATTGTGCAGAGTTCAAACAAACCCTTTAATTCCACACTAACAGTGAGTATCTGTGCCTGTGCTCTTCATGTTTGGGATGCTTTTTGGAGGGGATGAAGATGTGTGGTGAGAGCTCCATTTTTTTCAGGCTCAGTGTTATACCATGACAAAAGTGAAAGCAAGAATTAATTACAATAGACTCAAATAATGGCCTAGAATTCCCGATTTGGCCCTCTTTCCTTTCATTTTTTGTATATCAGAATATTTGATGGTCCAAAAAGGCCACAATTTCAGGTTGTGTACTTCCTTGGGCTTTTGGTGTTTGTGTTGTGGTGTTAGTAATTGAAAAGTTTTGATTTTCTAAAGTAGGATAAATTGTAATTGTGCTGAGCTTCGGATTTGGTATGCAATGGAGAAATATGTAATGGCTGGATAGTTGACCGGCTGCTGTCGGGTCAGCATGACCCTAACAAGTCTAATCTGAAGAAGAGACAAACATGTTTAGAAATGCCAAGACTTTGAGTCTGCTGACACACGAAAGAATTCATGCAAGGACAGAGCAGGTCAGTTATATCTCTGTCAGGGAGCTGTAAAAAGATGAACCGGCAGAGAAGTGCCTGTACAGTCAGTTTTCCACCTCTTTCTGAGCAACTGCAGACTCTCTTTTGAAGTGTAAGATGATGTAAGATGTATGCTTTACATAGTTTGGAGTTATTGCCTAACTTTAATTAGCCGTTATTTTGTTCCAATAGTCATCATTTCACAGCCACAGCTGACAAGTTTAAGATGATAGCTTTGTCTGAGTTGGTAGATAAGCCGCTTTTCCAGTTGTACAGACAATGCGATTTAACTTGAACTGTGAGCAGCCGTGGTTATGGTCAAGGTAACTGTAGTTTTTTTCTTGAAAACCGCATCAAGGAAAAGGGTCTGTTGACAGAAACCAATGCCCGTAATCACTATCATGCAATCATTTCATATTTCTGTTGGGGCAAACAAGTTCATGAAATCCACCATAACTGGGACTGAAGCCTTTTCAATGGTCAAGGCTCTACGTTGACCTGACACTCCCCTGGCTGAGCAATGGCGCATATAAAGAAGGAACCACTGGACGGAGCGGGATTAGGGGCAGCCAAGTCTAACATACCAGAAGCTGACCACTTGCGCCTGTCTCACCCCTGAATACATTCTAGTAATGACATGCTGTGTGTGCGTGTGTGTGTGTGTGTGTGTGTGTGTGTGTGTGGCCCTATTCAAGTGCAGAATGTTTGGGAAAGGGTGCGTGTACATATGCAGGAGTCAGGTTGCACACAGACCACCTGTCCTTACAAGGGTCTGACATACAATGGCTCAACTGTAATGATAAAAGTCATGGAGCACAAACTGGCTCTCCTCCCACGTTTAATACTGCCGCTGCAGCTGTGGAGATTACAGCTGCATTTAGGCTCTCAGCCAGAAAGTGCTCTTTCCTCCGCTGAGGGGCCATCGCACACGCTCCGATCCCACTGCGGCCATCACTCTGCACGACAGCTGGAGAACTTCCCCCACATAGCAACAGGGACACAAATACCAGCCCCTAGCAATCAACGTTTGACTAAACTAATCCCATTTCCCACGACTTGGGTTCGGTTATCATGTAGATTGAACAGAAAACATGGAAATCAGGTTGTTTGGATCAGATGTGAGGTAGAAGTGACACCCTACACTGCCGGCTTTATGATGTGGAAGGCTCGCTCGGGGCCAGGTGGCAGCAGATGATCCATTCAATCTCCTTCAATGGCACAATAACCTCCTCGTGTTCAAGAGACACAAGATCTGCTCAGTATTCTGACATGACCCCTGGTTATACTTTTGTAACGCAAGAAAGACTTTGTCCACTTACCATATTTATGTTGGGTCTTCTGTGTCAACACTACCCCGGAAATCAATAGTTTCAGGCCTGAAGAGAAAGAGAGAAACGCTGACGTGGTGGTGGCGACATTGCAAATCATGCAATCTCTACTGAGGGTGTTATCGATATGCAGGATTTAATGCAGCAAGGGCACACCAGGATGTTCCATCCTTTTCTCAGTAATTTCAGTTAGTTGATCTGTTCAGCTTGCTGCCTGCCAGCTAGTTAGAAGTCTTTGATACCTCCTTGTAAAGAATCTCAAACAGCCAAGTCACTTTAAGATTTTGAAAAAGGAACAGGGGGAGCATTTTTTGCAGGACCCACCCTCAAAGATTTAACTGAAACTAGTTAATGGTGTGATTTACAATAAATCAGCCTGTAGGGAAACTGTCCAGTCACATTTTCCATTCACCCGTACAAACACAGAAGGTAGCTACTCAGACATATTAAACATATGGAGGGACCAATGCTAGCTTTCCTCGACTTCAGTCCAGATAAATGAATCAAATGGAACCCGTTTAATACGTTTATGCATGTGAAACTACAGATACATACAAAAAATCTTTTTTTTTTTTTTTAAATCTGCAAAGAACAGACATGAAAAGTCTCTTCCAGGTTGAAAGAGCTCCACTGCTTGCTTAAGACTGCAGAGAAGACCTCCCAAAATAGCATGCAGGTTAACTCACAATCGGGGTCCGTGGATGAGTGGGCATCTATATATAAAAAGCCACACCCTTTTCTGGCCCCCCAACACTGCGGAGACCTTAAATCTTCAGTTAATTTTTGTTTGTTTCTTTGTTTTCTTTCATTAAACTTTTAAAGCTCTAAACAGAGTAGCTGAAAAGTAGATGCGTTTCTTCTTTTTTTTTTAAGAGCAACTTATTCACTTGTGTTAGACTCCATCTGCTTGCCGGGGGCAGCGTGCCGCCCTGCAGCAACTCCCGTGACGTGACCAGACAACTTCAGTGGGCTTCTCACGCGCTCGTCTCGCCCTGAGGAGCACGCGCCCCGCGGCTCGGACAAAAAAGGAGTCGCCGGCGGCTTACCTGGTTCGCTGCGGACAGAAGGTGCCGGCGCTGGGTGATGGTGGTCGTGCCGTCCCCTCCAGCAGAAAGCGCTCCGTCTGCCTCCCCCCTCTCCGGCCGGCCCGGGCTCGGGCAGCCCGGTGACGTGTCGCGTGACGCAGCGACTGCAGCGCTTCTGCCACGCGCCTTCTTACAAGCGCGCGCGAGAGGGAGATGGGCCAGAGCGACCGTTATGTGTTCAAAAAATAAAAAATAAAAAACGAAATCGGCACAAACATAATTTTACATGAAAGAGAAATAACAGCAAATTGCATGTAAAGGTGTTGTTGTTTATTTAATTTTAAAAAAAAAATAATTTAAAAAATTAGGCCTACCCCCCCGGGGGGGCGAGGGGGTAGGCCTAGGTGTCATATCTTCCATAGCATGGAAGTTTAACTAAAGTTGAAAACGTTTCGAATACGTGAAACATCCCCAACACGCAAACAGAAGACATGTTGGTCGATATGGAAAGCTCCAGGCTTTTTTTTTAAAATTTTTTATTCGGAACGGAGCTTGGTTTGAACAGACAGCAGCTGCTCTCTGGCTCTTACGTGGAAACTCCGGCTGCTCTATTTGTGTCTCGTCAGGAAATGAGGGGGGTGGGGGGGCTCGCCGGCCGCCATGGGGGGTTGGGAAGCCACATAAACAGACACAATGTGACCATACAGGAGTCAAAGTGTTCCAAATAAAGTGTTAAAATCGGTGTCAAAACCAGATTCACGTCACGCGCGCCTGTGACTGGAATGTATTCGGTGACCTGGCTGTCTGCACGGTTCCTGTGAGCTGGAGGTTTCCGTGCACCGCTTGGAGAGTGGAGCACAGAAGATGAGAAACATAGAAGGTCACTTACAGGAAGCGCTCCGTGTCACTGCAAGCATGACTCAGCATTGTTCATCCAGACTAAAGAATTTCACTTTCATGTAGGGTAATTAATGATTCTAAACGATATTATGAAACATATGTATTTTAAACTATACTTGATCTGGTCTCATCATCCGGAAAGAGGACAGGGCATCCATGCCCAGATTTGATTAGTCATGTGATATGCTATCAATAGCTGCAGTGTTTCAAACTGGACCCATCTGGTTAAATGTTGACCAGTTAATGACCTTATATCTGGTCAATTAGCTAGACGGAAGAAACTTTTCAAAAATCTGCTGAGGAGAAGATTTTTTTTGTTGTTTAGTACTTTGCACTGCTGAGTGATTCACACAGAAAACCTCTATCTGCGTCCGTGTAATCTTTCAGTAATAAGTAACTCCATCTCAAGTATTATGATGCTGGTGCTGGTAAGTCACTGCTACGTCAGAGGCAGATGGGTAATGACTCAGTAAAAGCTACCAATCACTGTGTCTTCGATTAATGCTACAGGAGACTACATCACATATGATAAATAAAATATTGCTGGAGAAAAAAAATAAAAAACTTGCAACAGGTTTGGATTGATCACAGGTTAATTGCACTAAAACTATAACCAATTGATCCCTAATAAACTACTTTATCTTGAAGTTGTCAGGGTTTTTCAGTGACATCTGTGGTTTTAGTAGGATTATGCCAAAATCCTTTGATATACAGAGTAAATGTGTTTGATTTGCCCACTTGTCCAGATCTCTTTCCAATGGAAAATGTACAATGTAGATTAAAGAATAAAAAGCCAACAATGGTGGTGGACCGTTGTGCAGAAAATTAATCCAGATTCTTCTTGAAGTCTGCAACAATAAATCATGTTGGGACCCAACTGAATAAATAGTTTCACTAAGGGAAAATGAAGTCATACTGTAGTGTCCATGCCTCCATCTATACATCTTTTTAATGTGTTGCTGGCCTCAAATATTTATATTTGTTTATGTTTTTAAAATGAAATGAAGTTGCTCAATGAAAACACTGAATATCAGTCCCAAGGTTATAAAAAACTTTTTTTTAAATGGACTTGAATGCCATTGCAATTTAAATAGCTCCCTCAGCTGTATTTCTGTCTACATGCTTTTGTTTACCCTCCACTTCATAAGCCAAATGCTGTGGGAAAATGAATGGTGAAAAGTCATTATTGTATACTGACCTCTTCTGCTTTGAAATAGCACTACACTGATCATTAGAAAGGGAACACAAATCAGGAGGAATGGAAAAATGCATCATGTAATCTGTTACAAATAGCCAAATTCAGCTTGCTAAGTGCTAATATCAGAAACATTTCCATTTTAATTTGTTTAATTGTATCATATCTCTGACATATTTTCTCAAGTTCTTTAAAGATTTGAGTGCACCCACAGCTTTGGATTCCTTCCATTTGATTGTTTAATGTTTTTATGTATTTTTTAATGTATTTTACATATTTACATAAGCCAAACGACTTGTATTTTCTCATGCATTTCACAAACCCACTCCAGTCAAGAAGGTTAAACCCTTGGAACTCTCCTAATCTGTTTGGCAAATTCATAAACACTTTGGGATCATAGTTTGCAAAAAAACAAAACTATAAATAATGTGAAAACAATAGCATTTTTCACATTCTGAATGGGATTTGCAGTTCACAGCTCTCACCCGGTGGCTTCCATGCAATAATGAACACATTATGGTCCAAACTGGACGGGAGCGAGAAAGGCTACTTTGTAAGTAATTCCAATGAGTGGGAGGGTCTCACAGGCCAGTCTTGTATATATTGCTGTAAAAATCATATTTCAACCATCCAAGTCAACAGCATGGATATTTTTGCCTCATTGCACATTGTTATAGTCACCAGCTAGTCCTCGTGGGACTGAAGATAAAGGTAAAGAGCTTGTGTATCTGCTGTAAAAAAAAAATTACCATCATCAGGACAGATTTAAAACATCGACTTTTAGCTTAGCGTTAGGCAGCATGTGATTTGATGTGTCTTTAATGCCCTGGAGACAGCAATAAACATTACATTAGCGAACATTAGCAGAGGGTTACCTGTGATCATGATCAACCCTCGGACCATAAAGCAGGGCATCACATGTGTAGATGCTGTTATTTAGTTAAGCATTACCCATTGTCCCTTCAGAAATGGTATCTCAGCTGGAAAGATCTACAGATAGGAAGCCCGAGCTTAAGCTTGATCAAAGGTGCTTGACTGTCCACACAGTCTTCCTTCCCGCTCGCCTCCTGCCCACTCAAGTAGCTGCCAGGAGGGATTAGGTGATCTGAAATCCCATGATGGGAGATGAGAAGGTAAATGCTATCCCCAAAAGAGCAAGACTGTATCCTGCTGCTTGAATAAGCCATAAAAGCTTCTTTGTCCTCCTCTGTTTCATAAACTCTCAGGTATAACAGTGTGGCACACCTTTGGTAGGGACAGAAACTCAGCTCCAAAAAGGCAAGAAGCAAGCCCGACCTGTAAGCACATGCTGAGAAGATATGACGAAGTTTTGCAATTGTATTCAACCGACTGGGCCCAATAAGAATGTGTGGTTAGGCATTTCTCGGCTTTTGCTGTTGCCACGTTTGGGCATTTTATGTTCCATTCGGTGGAGGAAAGCACCAAAGTTACAGCGGAGCGGTGACCTTGGAATCCTTGCTAAAATGGAAACAAGGCAGTATTATCAAAAGCATGGATCTCATCAGCAGTACAAATACAAAAGCCCACATGTGAAAGGAAAACGCTCACAATGTCATAACCACTGTTTTAAAAAGAGCAAATTGATCATTAAAACTGTCTTTTGAATTTCCCTTTAAATCTCCTCATTCAACGCTGACAGGGAGTGTGATGTAAAAGTCTTTAAAAGTCTGTAAATGTCTTCACTCTGTGTGTATCTGATGGACTGTCTTCACTATCTTTTGTAAGCGACTGATCAGGGGTGGCCCTTAAAAGAGACGTTATGTCAGCCGTGACTCTGCACTGGTGAGGTGAGCCCGCTTTTAAAACGACTGAATATTTTTCTTGTATCCGCGGCTTTCCAGAAAGCTATTGAAGGAAGTAATTGTGCCTGGAGCCGAAGACCGGGTAAAGGGCAGTCCACCAACGGGGCGTTGTATTCTGCGCTGTGGGCGGCAATGAAAACTCCAGGCATCAGCATTACTATATCAGGGGAGCGATAAAGAAGGGGGTGTATAAAAGAAATATATATTTTAGGGAATGAAAAATCCTATTGTCAAAGAGCACCAGAGAGGGAGGAAAGGACACACAAGAGGTAAGTGGATTGTTTACTTAATTCTTTATTTGGGTTGTTATCGTAGGAAGACCACTTAATTTTAACTAAACTGATCTTTAGGCTTTTTAGTTTGCAGAAGAAATGTAATTCCTCAAACTGATTATTTTTTTAGTTGGGCTTTTTAAGTAAATGTAGTCTTTGCTTGATATAGGGAGATCTGTTTCTTTAAAATTTGACTTTGGTTAAAAAAATTGGACAAATAAAAAACTTTTTTTTTTAAAACACAGTATGATCTTGTTGCCCTGACAATCATTCACTGACACATACTCTAATCTGCCCTTCCTTCCCTCTTATAGTCTGTTTTTTTCTCCTCGCTCTGTCTCTTCCCCTTGTGTCCTCCATCTCACATCAAGCTGCACTCCCACCGGTCGCTTCTTATATAATTCCCTTATCCTTCGAACCTGTCTCAAAGCCGTAGGAGCATGCCGTGCAGCGTGGTGAAGTCTTTCCTGGTGAGCTTGTCTCGGAGGAAACCCATTGAGCCAGATGGAGAGGAATCTACCTTTAACCGATGTCTGACCACCCTGGACCTGGTGGCCCTGGGTGTGGGCAGCACTCTGGGGGCTGGAGTCTACGTTCTCTCCGGAGAGGTGGCCAGAGACACTGCTGGACCCAGCATCATCATTTCCTTCTTCATTGCCGCCCTGGCGTCCATATTTGCAGGGCTATGCTACGCAGAGTTTGGGTCAAGGGTTCCAAAAACAGGCTCAGCTTACCTTTACAGCTATGTGACCGTTGGGGAGCTACTGGCTTTTATCACTGGTTGGAATCTGCTTCTCTCCTATGTCATAGGTAAGGATGCTTTTTCTTGATATGTTTGTTATTTTTCAATCAATCATTACTGTGATCACTGTGAATCATTAGAATTACAATTTGGCTCTTTTCTTGCCTTTATATGCAAATAGATAAACAAGTTAACACATTTTCATTTTAATCAAAGTGTCGCTACCAAACGTTTTGATCAGCTTTTCCTTTTTTGTACTTTAAAAACGGACGATTGGTTTTTAGATATAACAGAATGGGCTCCCTGAGTGTACTGGAAACTATAAATGATCAACCATCGACACACACTCCTTAATGCTGCTTTGTGAACTTTCACCTGCTGTGAAAGCACATTCTTAATGTTTTTTTTTAAGGAGCAAAAGTTTCAAATAGAGGGTTTACCTGCTTTGCTTTTGTTTTCATAAATCTTTAACCTTTCAACCTGATAAGGCAGGGCTGTTGTAAAAATAACAATGATTTAATGACATAATGGGAAGGAAATGTTCCAATCAGTATTTTCTCTGTTTATGACTGCAGTTAAATGGTGACTGAGGCTGATTGGTTTATTGCATCTCTTTGCTCAGGAACATCCAGTGTTGCACTGGCATGGAGTGGGACATTTGATGACCTTATTGGGGGGGTCATATCAAAGTTCTTTCAAGAAAATGCTGCCATCAACGTCAGTGGCCTGGCGCCTTACCCAGATGTCTTTGCTGCTGTTCTCATCATCCTACTCTCAAGTAAATGCTTTTTTTTCTTGTTGCTTGGCGATAGCTGTGTAATGGAATAAAAGTATAGACGTGTAAGAATGTATACGAACAATCTTTTTACACAAAGGTGTGCTGGCATTTGGGGTGAAAGAGTCCACCACTATCAACAAGATCTTCACAGCGATAAACATCCTGGTGCTGGTGTTTGTGATCATCTCTGGATTCATCAAAGGCGACATCTCCAACTGGAGGATCAGCGAGGAGAGCCTGATCAACGTCACAGCGGACCTCAAGTAAAGCCAAACATCTGTCTGTTTCAGCGTGTTTGCAGAATCATGGCCTATAATGTGACAGTAAAACTCTCCTATTTCAGTTTGAGGTAATGCTCTTCCTCATTTGCAGAAACCTGTCCTCAACCGTCAATGTAACCAGTGTGTATGGAGCAGGTGGATTTTTCCCTTATGGCTTAAGTGGAACGCTGGCTGGAGCCGCAACATGCTTTTACGCTTTTGTTGGATTTGACTGCATTGCTACAACAGGTAACCAGACTTTTTTTTTTTTCTCTCACATATGTAGCAAGTCTAACAATCTACATATGGAGTAAAAAGCTAATTATAACTACTCTTCTCACACCTCTCCTCCAGAAGGCTTTTTTTAAATGTGTGGTTTCACTTTGTTCCCAAGAAGCCTGACTTTGATTCGTTCTTCTGAAGTAATGTCAGGCAATAATGATCCAGTTATCAGAATGTTTCACTCACGTTCAGCCCAGTCTTTTTTACGTGACCAGTCAGAATATCTTTCTTTTGTTCGTGTTTTTTTCATGCTTTGTCTTTTAATATTGATAGTTCAAAGAATAAAAATGCAGAAAACTGCAAGCTAAGCACAGAATCCATTTTAAATAGTGTGTTCAGTGTCTGTCCTGATGCAAATTTGCACAGTTTCGTATGATTCATTTCTGATACAGAAGAAAGGGCAAATATAAGGATTTGATAGACATGATGAAATGTTAATTTTACACAAACAAGGTGACTCTTAAAGAGTTATTAGCTTTAAAGCTGATAAATTGCATCACGTGGTGTTGGCTCTGAGGAAATGGGATGAGTGGAAGATAAAGGAAGAGTAGATTAACAGTATCTTAAAGTCATGTGCTGGAGACATAGGAAAAATCCAACACAAGTCCTGAGATATTCATCTTGTCCCCTGGCTGATCCAACAACTTTTCACTAAAGCCTCCTCGGGAAAAGTCTCCGTGGTAGGGATACCATTCTTAAGGAGAAGAGACAGGAGGAAAATACTTTGATATGCTAAATGACACAATAACTACTCTGAAAATCTGTGGCAACAGGGTTTATGGGGCCCTGTTATCTACATTATTGAAGCAGTGTAGGAAAAACTTGACAGATAATATCAGACAAATGGCTTTAGAGTGTCCTTGAGATGTGTTGATATTTATACTGTATGTATACACATTTAAGTTATTTCAGTCACCATTTCCTTGTTTTTCTGAAAACATTGAATGAATTAGTGCAGGCTCAAACGATTTTATGAGCTACTATGATTAATCTTTCATGATGCAATAAACCTAACTTTTCAAGGCAATATAAAAAAAATGATCAAACAATTAGATCATATCAGCGAAACACAATGACAAATCTCATTATATCCAACTTTTTGTTTCGTTTATTGCCTTTTCGCAAACAAAACCTAGTCATTCACTTAGCTTCTCTCCACAGCCTCTATGGGAGAATAAACATGTTTATAGTCCTCAGTGTACTGCAGTTGTCTTTAAATATGAGTGTTGTCTCTCTTTCTAGGTGAGGAGGTGAAAAATCCCCAGAAGTCTGTCCCTATTGGCATCGTGGCCTCTCTTCTGATTTGTTTCTTGGCCTATTTTGCTGTGTCTGCGGCTCTCACTCTGATGATGCCTTACTACTTGCTCAATGAAAAGAGCCCCCTCCCAGTGGCCTTTGAATATGTGGGCTGGGGTCCGGCCAAATATGCTGTGGCTGTGGGATCACTGTGTGCCCTGTCCACCAGGTACGAAACCATTATGCTACTAAACTTTTTGGTTACAGTGTGGGCAAAAACCTTGACCTGACTTCAAGCATGACAATGTACCTATTTTTACACTTTCTCAATTGTGAAAGAGAATAAGCCTCGGTTTGCAATGAGGCTGTAACAACTACTAAATTGTATGTTGTAATTGTAAATACAGTCTTCATTCAAAGTAACTTTCTTGCGTCTGACAAACTAGGTTTTGTTGAAATCCATCAATGATTAGTTGATATTTTTCAAGAAGAATTGATTAGCTGATTAGCTGAAGTTCATAATTTCTGATGGTCAAATCCTATACTGGATACATGTCAATAAAAATGAGTGGTAATGCTTTAAGCTACCAAACAAGTCTAACAAATCATAAACGGATTCAGCTGAAAGGGGTAGCACATAAAACTTTGCCGCTTGGACCTGAGCTAGGTGGTTATTTTCCGAGACAACTGATTTGGTGATTTGCAATGAAAAGTAAACGGAAGTATGACATGCTTCCTGGACCTTATGTGCCTGTCTCTCCAGTCTGCTGGGTTCTATGTTCCCGATGCCTCGGGTACTGTTTGCCATGGCAAGAGACGGACTGCTCTTCCAGCCTCTGACTAAAGTCACTGCTAAGGGCAGTCCTGCTGTAGCTACTATATCATCAGGAATTGTGGCAGGTAAAGATATGTCAGCCACATCTAAAGTTCGTCTGTGGGGTTTATGGATTCAGCTCATCCGACTCTGTCTTGATTTCCAGCCATCATGGCCCTCCTGTTTGACCTGGAATCTCTGGTGGAGATGATGTCCATTGGTACTCTGTTTGCATATACACTTGTGGCAATATGCATCCTAATACTGAGGTACAATCGTCTTTTCATTGACCCTGATGCTCTGTGTCTAACACGTTGTATGGATCTCAACTCTCAACATGTTTCTACTTCTTTGTGTTGAAACAAGGTACCGGGCAGATACATCTGAGGAATCAGACTTGAAGATCGCAGAATCCAAGTCAAAGTTTAGCATCTTTCGTCCTCCATCATCTCCCAACCATTCCACATCGCGAACAGTCACGCTGTTGACAATATCCTCCGGTAATGGAGAGAACACGTGAACACCTTTTTCAGATCTGGGCCACTTTCTGATCTTTTGCTTTCATCTATTGTCCATCTACAGTTCTTTGTGTACTTGCACTGTGCATCACCCTGACCCAGGCCATCGAAGCTCTGTCCAATGCAGAGGCATGGAGTGTGGCGCTTGTTTGCATTTTTGGAGTGCTCCTGGTGATAATCCTCGTCTTAATCTGGATACAACCACAAAATCCCACCAAAGCGACTTTTATGGTAAGAGAATTTTACATGGGTATCTCACAATTCTTTTTTTCAAAAAGAGATGAGAGCAAAGGCCCTAATTTTCCAGTTTTCTCATTTCCTAGGTCCCCTTCCTTCCTGCTTTGCCTTTGGTGAGCACACTCATCAACGTTTACTTAATGGTGCAGCTGAGTCCAGGCACATGGTTGAGATATGCCATTTGGATGTTAGTGGGTAAGACCTTTTTTGTTTTTCTTGCTGGAATATTTTAGAGCTCTTTATCATGTTTACTTCTGAACTCTGACGAACGAGTATCTTCTCTCTGCAGGATTAGTGATCTACTTTGGTTATGGAGTCTGTCACAGTGTTCAGAGGAAGCGTGCGACAACCAACCAAACAGTAATTGAAACAATCAGCAGCAAAGCAGACTTGGAGATCATTAAAGAAGAGAAATTCTGAGCAGTGACGGAGTGACAAGAGATAAACTGAGATGTTACAGTGAGCAAACTCTTTATTGTGTAACTACTGTTTTACATAAATCAATGCTGAACAGATTGTGCAGTGTTCAGTGTTTGGGTGTATCAGTGAGTTAAGCGTACAGTACAAAGGTGCAGAAAATTCCCCTGACTTATATCTTGATGGACTGAAATACTACCCAACACATCCCTAAAAATAATTCAAGCAGTGAATGGTCTTATTCTTAAATGGCCATTTTTCTGAAAACTGTGCATAAGAAATGCACAAGCTGTGTTTTGATCAATGGTCCTTTTCACACCTTTATTTACCATATTTGGGGTGGTCTGGGGTGTATGATCCCACCTCCATCAGCTTTTAAATTTGCTTCCCAAGTAGTTACAAATGTTGGAGACAGAATTGTGTGTTTTTGTTTTACTGTACATAATTCTAATCATGCCAATAAATATATATTTCTCTATTTTAACTTATGATACATTTGTTAACTTATTAACAAATGTTTTCTGCTTCCTGGGGGGGAGGGGGCGTAACAGGAAATTGATTGAGAAGCACAATGTCAACATGTTAACAGGTTTTAACAAGTATTTAGGGGTTAGGGTATTCATTTTATTTGTTGTTGAGAGTAAGTATGAAAACTGTACATGTGTGTTGGCAATATTCCTGTAAACACATTCCTTAATAAAAGATTAAACAATTAAGTTTTGCAGATGTTTGCAGTCTGGAGTAAATTTGTTGCACAGCATTCTTGTCTGAATTGACAGATTAGAAATGCGGCTTTGGTGGTCTTGGCTGTAAGAAGTCAGAGATGGCTAGCAAGCAAGAGTTTAGTTAAAACAAAAGCAGCCTTTCAAGGCAGCTGATCTCCATCATGCACAAAATCACAGCTTAACTATTCACCTATAAAGAAATACATACATTGTTCATGCAGCCTGTGATTCATTTCTACAAATGCAATCTTGTTTCAAAACATGCAACTTAGTCCGCTCTGCCGCATCCAAAAGCAGCCACAGGACGTGAATTATTTTATCCACGTTAATGGATAATAAGTGTTGCACTGTGTTTCCTGTGTGGGAAAACAATTCCATAAACAGATAAAAGGCCTCTTATGCAAAACTTTTTTATCACTTTTAAAATCTAGCCATGCCTTTCTTTCTTATTATTCTCCAAACACTGTAAGACACTGTGACAAGTCTTGATGCGGAGGCATTCTCATGTTGACATACAAAAGAATCTTTCTCCTCATGGCTCTGATAAATAAATGGCACTTTTTGGTGGTTTCTGAGAGGAAATTTCAAACAGCAAACTATTTCAACAACACCTTGTGGTAATCACAGAAATAATCTGGAATGAAGCAAAAAATACGGTAAACAACAGCTCATTTTTTAAGTGAAATATTCATTCTTGATACAGTGGGTTGGAATGATCTCTTTGTTGTAGTGAAGCTGAGGAAACCTCTGACAGAACACATTTTAGGGGCCTTTTCCATTAGTACCTACTGGGTATTAGTATCTACCCTACTGGGCTTTACTCTCTTTGGGCCATTGTGGCCATGACATACCAGCTGGATGTCCTGATCGGACCACGGTGTTGGTTTGTGTTTTAGGAAAATTATAACTATGTTGATCATACATGTTTTGTCACTCCAAACTCCTGTTTTCCAAATAACTATTTCCTGTAGATCTTTTTAAGCATGGCAATTTTTCAGAATGCCTGTAGTTAGGTATAATATCACAAATGACCACAAAGTAAAAAGCCCTGTGATTTTAATCCAGATTGATATACAGCAGGGAGGCCTGCTCCAAAAAGGTTAGCACAAATGGTCATACATTTTTTTTATCATATTAAAACATGATCTATATTTCAAGGCAACATTTTGATTTACTTGCACGGTAAACCACACGTCACAAGTTTTATAGGACACTAAATGCTTTTAATGGCCTGCTCTCAGCCCTTGTCTGGGCAACATTTGTGAGGGCTCGTGCTGCCACTGCACACTTCCAGTCCAGCGGCTAAGCAAACAGACTGTGTGATTTCAAATGGAGGGGCCTCAGAGTCTGGGCCCTGATTGGTCTGGACAGGCTTGAAAGCCTCCATTGAGCCACTCAGGAGGAATTTGGGGGAATAATGCCACTCTCAGGAGGAGGAATTTGTGTGAACCATGTAAACAACTGACTCCTCACGTTGTGAGCTCTCCTCTCCCCCTCTTTTCTTTGCCTCCTTTCGGTTGGTGTGGTGAGCTCTCTGGGTTTCACCGCATGACCGAGTAGTCCACATACCATTTTAATATTCACGGATCAGTCATGCCTTTGATGAACTTATCGGGCTCTACTTGGAGGCTGGTCTTTGGTGTTTTCCTCGTTTGCGCCGTAATCCTTGAGTTAGGTAAGTGACTTATTTTCTTGCTGTGCCGTTCAGGAACGTGGACTATTTCTGTTGGTCTGCTTCAGAAACAGAAATATATTTACATTCTATATACAAGTGCGTTAGCTTGATATGTATTTGGAAACTGTTGATGCACCTGTTCTGCTTCCCATTTTTAAAAAAAGAGGCACAAGGACAGAGGACAACACCAAGGAAAACACCTAAACAGAACAAAGCCAAACTAGTGAGATCAACAGGTGAAGGGCCTCAAGCTGTGACAGCCAAACCAAAGCTCAAAGCTCCAGCTGCACAGGCCCCCCTCACACAGGTAGGACATGGAAAGTTGCATGTTCTATCTATCTCAAAGGATTTAGGATTTTTTGGGGTGGAGGTAAAATTACTGTTTTTCTATCCAACCCCTAAAGGTGCTAAATAAAGGCAAGTTTAAGAAGATTGGAGAAACCGTAAGTGTGAGGTCTGGAGACACTTTGGAGCTGAGGTGCAGGGGCAAACCCGTGCAGTGGAGTGTCCCTCCTTACCTGGAGGAGGATGATGATGGGAGGCTAAAGTAGGATATGCTGTCTATAAAACTTTATAATGCATGAAGATAACAGAATCATAAAATCTGTTCGAGCTTGAATGTTCTATGGCTGTTTTTCTCCTTCGGCTCTGTAGGATCGTCCAGCATGAGCGATATGGCACTCTGACTTTAGTAAACACCACGGGTGCAGACACAGGGGAGTACGCCTGTTATCAAATGTACTGTGAAGACACCGACTGCAGGAGGGAGCACAACAAAGCTGTTAAAGTCTTTGTCTTCTTCCCGGGTATAATTGATAAACTTTATTGATGCTTGCACTTCCTTGTGGGCCTATTTTGCCAGCAGCTTGCCAGGAATTATTTTTCCGTATCAATAATCTCATCATCAATCTGCCGTATCTTTGATCTCGGGACCGACCAGACCCACGGGAGTTATTTCTTCCATCCTCTAACTACTACGAGGTAATACAGCTGAGGACCAACTGGCCCACGCTCCTGCCCTGCCAGGTGACCTCGCCCGAGGCCAAAGTGACCCTGCATCGGGAGTTCCCCCCTGTGGAGGTGGCAGTGGACGGGACGGAGATCTCCTTCGACGTCAAGAAAGGCTTCACCATCCATCGACCCCGGCCTCATCATGCCGGAGCTTTGTACTGCGTGGCCAGTCTGGGAAACCTGAGGCAGAGCTCCACGAAGTACATGCTCATCTATGTTCACTGTGAGTGCCACCGACAGGTCCATCAGGCCCTCACAGAGCGTGCAGCCCCGTCCCACCTTCATTCAGCTTTTGCACCAACAACTACATTTCAATTCCTGGTTGAGTTTGTATTTTCAGATATGTTTAGTTGTTTCTCTACCTTACATCACAAGAAATCTCATGGTTTCCAGAAGTCGACATCAGGGCACAGTCATTTGAAAGCATCCTCTTGGGTGTTTGGATTTTTGTTTAAATATTATGGATTCAAAGGCAGAATTTCATGTGAAAAGCAAGAGCACCCTCTATGGATTTGAAGGCTTCACAAAGCCTAAAGGCCTCACTAACAAACAAAAAAAATAATTTGGGCCTCCAATGAGCAATAATCCATTACATATAACTGAGTGTCTTTGCATACATAGGAAAAAGTCCTCTTTAAATAGTTGGTTCAGTCCACAGAGGTCGGTGGGGGTTCTTCTGTTGGGAGCCATTTTAAGTTTCCACCCCAGTATTTGCATCAGGGTTCAAGTCTACTTTTCCTCATCATGCGAATATTTGTGAAATGTGTTCAATGATTGTTTGTCATCAGACCCCATGGCTCCTCCTGCTCCGGTGATCCAGCTGTCATCGAACTCAGTGGTGGTGGGGAACAACCTACGGGTGAGCTGCACTGTGATGGGAGAGCGGGACGTGGTCATAGATGTAACCTGGGAGTACCCAGGACAACAGGTCAGAGACTTAACCACAGGTTGTTCAAACCAACTCAATCTTAAGAAACACACTTAGATATGTCTATATATCCATCTCATTTAGTTGAACTAACTAAAAATCTTTTTTTGCATCCGTCTAATCTCCCCAGTCTTAATAGATTTCACTGCCTTTTTCAGTAGTTTATCAGTCATCACAAAGCATACAGCCTCTGGTCTAATACTTTTGAGCTTGTAACTAATCATAACTGGCAAACCTGAAGGCCTCCAAACAGAGAGTTTCCCACACCAGACCGCCCCTTCAGTCTTTAGCTGTTTCTGGTTGTTTGTTTTCCTGAGTTGAGTGTGTGTACTGGTTTCAGATTGGCAGGCCTCTCTACACGCTGGATAGCATCAGTCCGGTCAGCGGAGGGCCGGCACAGCAGCAGTTTCAGTCGGTCCTCCTGGTGGATGAGGTGAGAGACGTGGACAGTGGGACGTACACCTGCACTGCACAGAACCTGCAAGGAGTCAAATCGGTGTCCACCACCGTCAAAGTGGCCCCCAAAGCCAAAGCCAAGAAACCATGAATGAGATGCACACCTGGAGGGCTTCGGGTCAAGTGCATGCAGTTAGAGTTTAAGGTGGTATTTAAGTCAGCTAGCGACTAAAGCTTTTCACAAAGCTAAGCATCGTCCTCCCTTTTAGGTGGGGATGACTGTTCAGAATGCACTGCAAAATAGAAATGGCGACAGAAATTTTACAGTTCAGATTAATGACAATCAACTGTTCAAGCCTGTTCAATAAAGGTTTCGTTTACACTCAACGCTGCCTTTTTGTCCCCTTATTTAAAACTTTCTCAGCAAATAGAAAGATTTCAGATGTAAAAGAAGAAAACCAAGCAGTGTTTTCTTTGTTGTAGTGCTTTTGGTTCCAAAAGCAAAGTTGTCAAAAAATAATCATCAAAAAGTATCATTTGTGAGTAGAATCAAAATTCTGACTGTGCCAACCAGACGATAGCAGAACCCTTTGGTGGGGCTGGGCGGCGTTTTTGTTAGCGTTGCAACATGAAAGTTGTCGGTTCCAATCCGGGTAACGTACCTTTGGTGTGAATATGGCGATGCACTGGTGCCCTGTACAGGCTGTTTTGTTTCTGTAAACCTTGTTGACTGTTTTCAATAAAAATCCTTTTGGCTTTTTGTCTCACCCAGAGCGAGAAACCTCCACTTCTTTGATTACAAACTTAAATTTCGAACATTTTAATTTGTTGTTTTTATGCACACACACACACACATCCACCATGTTTATCCAAGATCCAGGTCCTCCTTTGAACGAAAGTGACCTCAGTCCTGAGTGTTATTTCCAGACTGGTCGACAGAGGTCGCTGTTGCTGTTGCCATCTCTTTTTAAGTGTGTCAGGACACTGGCCGGCTGCCTTTTGTGTTCTCTCTCTCTCTCTCTCTCTCTCTCTCTCTCTCTCTCTCTCTCTCTCTTGCTCGCTCCCTCTCCCTCTCTGCCCCTCCACCATTCAAACCTCTGAGAGGGAAAAGGAACACTTCTACTTAGTCTTTTCCGCTCGCAGGCTGCCCGGTCTGGGACATATCCTTTTACGCATCCACGTTGGAGACCGAAGTCTGTTTAGTTTTGTTTAGACATCACTTGCGAGAAGCATCTTTGCATTTGGTTTTCCTCTCCAAGGGAGATGTCCTGCACGCAGATCATGGTGAGTTTTGCAGCCCTGCCGTGCACATGGAGGTCTGCAGAGTAGATGGAGTCAGCCCGCCGTGCGCCCGAAACTTCCCGCGGGATAAATCTCACGGGATTACACTTAACCAGGAGCCCCACTGTGCAGACTAAAGCCTTTTAGATTGATGACACCGCTCAGAAAGACAGTTTCCATCATACAAACGAGAACACCTGGATCTGGGGTTTGCTAAATCTTAGTGTTTTGGGGATTGAAAGGTATTTTTGTGTGTGTGTGTGTGTGTGTCAGTGCTGCTTTGGTGGTCTGCTGCAGGTCCAGAGACAGTGCACTGGAAAAGAGTTTGGCTATAAATGTTCAGGCCGAGGCTCAACCTCCCGGGTCTCTTTTGATGCACAGGAGAGTTGTGGGACAAAAGCAGTTCCTCTGAGTGTCTGGGTTTTGTGTGGGAGGAGGCGGAGGGCGAAGGGGAGACTCTGACTCAGTCCTGAGGATTGCCAGCGCTGTTGTCGTGGAGACCAGAGGCCACAGGTGACCTCTGACCTGAGGATTCTTTAAGCGTCGCAGGAAGAGCCGTTTGTGGTGGTCATGGGTGTGTGCTGACGCAAATGAGGGAGCGTATCTGACCACCGAGAGACAATGGATGTGTGGGTTGTTGTCGGAGACTGTGTGGTTTCCACTCCTGTAATTTTGGAGTGGGGAATACAAAGAGGTGATAATGGGGTGATTGTGCTGTCTCTTCTGGTCTAAGTGAGCTCTCATTACTGTGCGGCAATTACTGGGACAACTTAAATAATGTTTTGGGTGCAAGTCGCCTCAGAAAAATGCTGGCTGCATTTTCAGCCGAAGAGTTTTGCCATCTTCTGATTAATAATCATCCCAGAATCTCATTTATGACAGAAATATACATACAGTACAGCTGGGTGCTAGTGAGCTTTGCAAGGTTGTTATCTGGCTAGAAACCGCAGAGGTCCATGCTGTCACTTTGTGTCAGTGTTCCACTTAGCGGCTGTGGACAGGTTTTGGGTGGGACTGCAGTCCACAATGGCGGTTCCCCATTTAATGACCCCTTCCTTGTGGTTCTCTTTGGTTTGTCTGAACTGTCGTAATTTGTTTTGGACCTTGACAGCTGGGAGCATGGGCTTGTTTTATTTTTCCCAGCCATTTCAGCTCCTTAACACCTGACTACACTGTCAAGCACAAATGTTAAAAAGATTATTTGTGCATGATCAGTCCTATGAGCAAACTGATATCTGGAGGTGGATTGTCACAGTGGCCGTTAAGAGGTTAACGTTTTTCCTTTTAAAGTGTCAGCACTTGTGGCTTCTGTGGAGGTATCTTTACCCGATTATGTTTACACATTCTACACTTGAGACCATAAATAGAGTGCAATCTTTGCGTGTGTTCCCTCTCTTCAGAGGATGTGCAAACAGAGGGGCCCTGAGGCAAAAGGTGGCTGTACCTCAGCGGCTTGGTGGCTATTTTCTTTCCCCCACATGCTCCACACAAAAACTCCACAAATCTCAATCTTTTGTGGAAAAAAAGTCTGCGTGTACGTGCCACTCTATTTTTTGTTTCTATCGTAAACCCATCTGTTGCCTAAAAGCTTATTGGGAGATTTCTGACTCCACTATATTAGCGCAGCCCTGTCTCTTCGGGGCTCCTCTCCCAGCAGAATCAGCCCTGCGACTGATGGATGTCTCCTTCAGTCAGCTGTTTGAGCTCCCAGGGGGTTGACACTCTCCTCTGTGGGAGTGTGTTTGTGTGTCCGTAAGGCACTGGCAGCTGATGAAACACTAATTCTGCTGACCGTCAAATGTCTGCTGACCATTTGCTTAGTGTTGCCTAACGTAAAGATTAGAGGACGGCCATTCCGTTTCATCAGGCAGAGTGATTTTGAACCAAGTCCACCTCCACCCTCTCATGATTTATTTGGAAACAGATGCCGAAGATGAGACCAAATGTTCTGCCCTGTAGGAGCTGTAAAAGTCTAACTTTACCGCTGGCGTGTGAAATCGCAGCGTTATGTTTTTCCGTGTCTAAGTGCGCATCGAGTTAGTCGTGCATGCGAGGTCTAGCAGATGGCGTGGTGGGCAGAGCACAGTTGTGATGGCACTCTGTTCTCTGACAGACATTTCCCCTCAGGCCAGCCATCCAATCAAACACTAATGAACTTTTCTTCCACTTATTGATTTCTTTCCATCTCCTGACCTCTGTGTCTTTCTCTCCTTAGATGCTGCTTCCCTCTCACTCCATGTTCACATTGTTTGCTTCTAATCCCCAGCTGATCCTCTTACCCCGTGCTTTCTCTCCCGCCTGCCCTCGTCTCATAGACTCTTAATAGACGAGGTCATGCCTCATGGCTCTCAGGAGAAAGTGTCATGATCTTACACTTAGACTCCTCGCCTTCACTCTTCCCACCGCCCGCGGCTGGCCCGATCTGCTCTCTGAGCCGTCTGTCGCTGCGATTAAAGCCTGGCCGGGTTAAGAAAATCAGAGCTGGACTTGGCCGGGCCGTCTGCCCACATCCACATCATTGGACATCAGGCTGTTTAAGCTTTCGGGGGCCTCCAAAGTGACACAGCAAGGGGGGAAAGGGTTTGCATCTATTAACCATCAGTGGCACCGCAGGAACGTTTTTCGTTCTGTTTTTCCTGTAAGCTCACACCTGGTGATCAGGTGTTAGAGCGCATTAACCGACTTTTGCACAGTGCACGTGTGTGGTCCTGCAGTGTGAGTGTGAGATCTGACCGGGCACAGGTTTAACTAGCACCAGGAAAACTTTCCTCCACTTTGTGTCTCTTCACACGGGCCGGGTCGTACTAACAAGCTTTGACTTTGTTATTGTCCACTTAAGAACAAAGAAACACGCCCTAGTTAATAATTATGCGGAATGGCACATGTTTCTATCGTAGCCAAAGATTGATCTACCCGTGCATGTTTATACTCCTTAACTTTGACCCAGGAAAAAGATTTATGACTCAGTCGTTCATTGTTTCCTTAGTCGGGGTTACCTTATGCCTTAAACATGTAGAAAATGTACTCATGTTGCAGCTAATGCAAATATGTTGGCAGTGATTTCCCCCCCACCACCACCCCCCCCTCTGCCGTGGAAAAACAATCCTAAAAGACAAACAGTTGCAGCCTTCAGAAGATAAGACCACACCTGAAGCGAGGTCTGTTAAAACAGCGATTCGGGGCGTCTGGTGGTGTCTGGCTCCTGGACCCTGGCAGGATCTCTAACATCCTGTGTGCTGCATACTGGGAGGTGTGTGGGGGGGGGATGGAGGGGCTGGCCTGCGTCCTGGCCTCCCTGTTCTGCTCTTAGGTTCATTCCTGTGTACTTTTTGCTGTGCGGCAGGACACAGTGTCCTGTGGGGGGAGGAAACTTTCTGCCCTGCATGGGCAGTTGCCACGAGGGGGGGGGTGCATGGCCTGCGGGAATGTTGGAGCGTCGTACGTCCAAATTTCCAGAACCCAACTTGACCCGCTCCCCTGGTTCTGAGGTTCAGGCCCGTCGGGATTTGTGTGCTGGTATCTAAGTCTGAATGCTAGTTTTGACTTCCAGGAACTGTGCAAAAAAAATCCGCAAGAATATCTTGTAAAATCTGAACAGCCCAGAGCTCTTCTCCTCCTGTTCTTTAACACAACCCGCAACAAACATCCCACCTTTGGCCAGCCGCGTGGAATAGATGCTCGTTGTGACTGGGAGCTCACGGAACGACACGGCTGACTTGTTTTTTTAGACCAGGTGCTGTGAGCAGATATCAGAGCCAGTGCGTGCAAGGCTCCCAGTTTCACAGCACAGCCAATGCAAAGTGCGGAACATCACAGATTTGTGATTCTGTCAGTCTAAGTGTTAAAGAGAGCATGGGTGGTTTGGCACCATGTGGAGCTAGCTCCATAGCCCCGCACGCTTATGTGTGTCAATCAAATTCTGCTGCCAGGCAAGAGAAAAAACAAATACATTTTCCATTCAGTTTCTGATGAGCACCCGAGTTACCACGGAGTGCCTTGTGACCAGACCTGACCGGTGAACTGTTGTCTTTTCCTAATGAGTCAGGCGGCCCTCCCCGTCCGTCTGCGGGGAGAAGTCTGAGAGTGTAGGAGAAGCTGCATGGAGCTCGTACTTTGTCCGCTGCCTCTTAATGTGACCATCTCTGGAGGCTGATATGAGCAGCTGCTCTCTGCCATTAACC